CGAACTACAAGCGCTACTCTACACTGCTCAAAACTGGCGTTTGAATCGTCAGTGGCAAATTATTTAAATATAAAAAACGTACTTACAGTCTTTGAGTCAGAACAGACATTGTAGTCTATTCTCCCAGGATCAGGAAACAGCGCTGCACACATCTGGATATTTGGGTTGAAGTGTTCTGGAACAGTGTTGTAAATACAACTTAACCACTGATTTCTAGTCCTGTCCTCTTTTGGAAGACCAAACAAAGTAGTTTCGCTTTCACAACGAAGCACACAGCGTCTCCACGACATGGCGGCGGCGGCAACAACAATAGTTGAATCAAATAATCAAAGCGAGAATCAAAGTTACGCCTTCTTTCTTTGCGTGAACATTTGGGCGGCGTTATGCAAATCTTCCCACACAGTGATGTAGACATGTGGGGGCGTGTTAGAATGAGCCGTTTTAGGAAGGCGTGGCTGACTCTTAACTTTTATAAAGAATATCTCTTTGGATTTGAGACTTTAGTCTTTGCAATTTTACAAATCTTCTTCATGCACCAAAAACTTGCAACACTTCAAAGAGAAAGGAAAAATTTCAATCGCATCATATGACCCCTTTAACCAGCAAATCAAGATCTTACAAGGCACAGAAACTTCCAGGCAGGTGTGTTGAAACGAGTTGGAGCTAAACTCTGCAGGACACCGGCCCTCCAGGACTGAGTTTGGACAGCCCTGCTATAGACTATAGATTTACTGTGTGCAACCACATGTTTCGGGAAATTCACACTTGCTCATTTTCAGGTATGGTGTAAGGGCATGGTTAAGGTTAGAATTGTTTGGAAAATATTTATACAAACAAACAAATAAATATGGATAGATAAATAAATTGTATCGCGCTTACAATATTGGTCCAAAGCGTTATTTATTTATTAATTTTTTCCTGAAATTGTCCACGAACCAGCACCCCTGGGATTGAAACGTAATCACTAGTTAGAAAACTCCAATATAGAGGAGACAAGAAATGTAAATAAATGTAATGTAACGTTATATTATAGAGCCCCACTGCACAGAGCCTCACAGAGGTGGAAGGGTTGTGTCACATTGCACAGCGATCACTTACACCGTCTCAGTGAGCTCAGAGCCTGACCCAGCCTGCCTATACGTCCAGGTGCTGCCAGTACTACTTCTCGTTTATTTCTTCACGCCGTCTGCGCATAAAAACTCTTCTAAAATGACTCGCTGGAGAGAATAAATCGACGCATGTCCAGTGACATTGCCATATGCCGTTCTACCGGAACGACGGCTTATAGGATTCAGCTTTCTGGAAGACAATGCCTCAGGAAAGTGCAGGCACTGAACTGAAAGAACTGCGTGTTTGGAGCTCATGAGGAATATTTGCGACTGTAATAAACAGTGAAATGATGCTCACAGCCAATGAGGAAGGACTGTTATTCTTTAACATAGAGGAGATGAGAAAAGTTTTGGAATTGTAATTGACATGAGTCGTTCCTCGGGTAAGGTGATTGTGCTTTTAATTCACATTCACATTTTAGCTTCTTATATTGTATTGTATTGAGATTTTGAATGGCTTTTAGGTCTTAAGTCTAAAAAAATAAATAAATAACTTCGCATATTTGATGAAAATTACCCATCATACTCGTTATCTATTCATTAAATAGGCAGATTAAAAATAAATAAATGGATAAAACAGTATTTTTGAGGGGAAATATCTAAAGTTATTTTTTATTACCATACTAGTAATTGATTATGTTAGCTTTATGTTAATGTTATTTACATTAACTGGTTTTATTCAAGACAAGACAACTTAGCTTTGCTTTGGTTAACAGGAATTTCAGTGAAAATGGTAACACTTTATTTTGATATCTCATAACTTTGCAACTCTGTGTCAAATAGCAGTCACTGGAGTATTAGGAGACTGTCTGCTTAATATCTGCGAACACTTTATTTTCATTTTCCCCAACAGACATTCAACTGGCTAACTTTGCAAGTGCTTGTCAAGTTATTCTACTATCCCTAATCCTAACCTAACTGTCTACTAATAGTCTAATGAGAGTTAGTTGGCATGTAGTGGCAAAGTTATTATAGTCAACAGAAATGCAGAAGGGGACCATCAAAATAAAGTGTTACTGTGGAAATAAATCTTCTCCATTCGATGGCATTGTACAGAATTTTGTGCTTCTAAGATTGTGTTTGGAGTCTAACAGTTTGGGGAGGCTCCGGATGACATTGAATGCCCTTGTGCACAAAGCGATGTTCATATAGAAATGATTTGATGTGTTTGGTGTGGAAGAACTTGACCTGCATTGTGATCCAGGCCCCATCGACTAACAGCAGTGTCTGACCTTACTGTCTGAATAAGAGCAAATCAGCCAAGTTCCAACATATTTATTTTTTCTGAGAGAATGTAGCAAAGTCCCTATTAATGGCCATGGTTTTTGAAATTAATAGCATATGTGGAAGTGATATTCAGGTGTCCATACTGGTTGCCATATACTCTAGTGTTTCTTCTTAAAGTTTAATTTAATTCATTTATTGACCTTTTAGTTTTTCCACACCGTACAGTATGACTTTGTGTGTTTGTTTGCATTGCAGTATGTAACGCTTCATGATCTCTGTGATATGGATAAGTATGAGAAACTGGCTAAGATCGGCGAGGGCTCATACGGAGTGGTGTTCAAATGCAGACACAGGGACACCGGTCAGATAGTGGCCATTAAAAAGTTTGTTGAGTCTGAAGATGACCCGGTCATCAAGAAGATCGCACTGAGAGAAATCCGCATGCTGAAGGTAGATATGGGGATTGTACACTTACTTATTGCAAATCCCCCATGTATTTGCACACGTATGCATAAACATTTTCATTTGTATCCATGTAGCAGCTGAAGCATGTGAATCTGGTGAACTTGCTCGAGGTCTTCAGGAGAAAGAGACGCCTTCATCTGGTCTTTGAGTTCTGTGAGCAAACTGTTCTAAATGAACTGGACAAACACCCCAGAGGGTCAGTCACATTTCCCTTTTTTTGTTTTTGTTGAAAATATACTTATACCATAAGTATGGTACATGGTACTTGACACACAAATGCACTCCCTAGCAATATCTACAGTAGAATATTATTTTTAAAACATAGGATACAAAAATAAAATAAAAATCAAGGAAATTCAGTTTTTTTGTTTTGTTTTGTTTTAAGGTATTTTCGCCGCTATAGAAGCTGATCTTGTTTTTTTCCCTTCCCCATTTCTTTTCTTTCCTTTTCATTTATTTTTATTATTGAACGTTTTATACTGGTGTGTTCTCTTTATGCAGTACTGAATTAAAATAGCTACTTTTTAAGCTCCTTTTTAACTTTTTAAAAACTTTTTTTTGTTAGTGTCTATTCAATGCTTTTCTCATTCAACAGAATAATGATTTTAAATGATCTTTTGGGGGGTAATTTCTCTGACAAAATTAACGCAGGATTAATTTGCGATTACTTTGAATAATCAGCACGTCATGCAATTAGATAAAAAATAAAAAATAAAATTGTAACCTATTATATATATTATATTTATACTGCTATCTCTAAAATCAACATTAAATTAAAACCAACCCTATTTATTTGCATTCCTAGTCTTCTTGCAAAAATATTTGCCTCTGTAATCTTCTGTTCAAATGTAATAACTAGTCTCACCCTAGAAACTATTTTCTTTTCGGCTGACTTCACCAATCCCTCTTTCTTTTTAGCCCCTCCTCTTCTACGACCTGGAATGCCCACTTTTCACAATGCAATCTTCTTGATGGATTTCCTGATTCTTTAATGTTGTTTCATGCTGACTTCTATAGGCTGTATCTAGATGTTGTGTTTTAGAGCTACTAAACTGGTCAGACCACAAAGGCTGTGGCTGCCCAGCATTCTCTCTCTCTCTTTCCCAGAAGGCCTTTCAGTCGTAACCTTAGCTGCTTCTCAAAACAAAGGAACTGGTTGCCAGTGACTACAGGCCCATGGTTACTGCAGATATATGGGAGCTGCACTGATATTTAGAGAACAAGATAATTTAACTGTTGGTAGATCCTGCCAACTATGGCAGAATTTTAGATCCTGCTAATCTGTAGTCAGCGGAGTCTAAGAGGCTGGATATTAACATTTGCCCCCCCACCCCCCTTTAGGGTTCCTGAGGCACAACTCAAGAGTATTCTGTGGCAAACTCTACAGGCCGTGAACTTCTGTCACAAACACAATGTCAGTATGTTCAGCCTCTCTTTTCCCGTCTACCAGTGTGTCACTTATGACTGCTACAGACAACTGTGAAAAGTCTCACTAGTGAAGAAGCTCATTTTTGGAATGAGGAGGAGACAGCTAACAATAAAAAAATGTCTTGGAATACGTTTGTTAAAATCTCATGACCTACAGCAGGAGTCACTGAATCAATGACTACGTTTACATGCACCCTCATAATGCGAATATAATGAGATTTAGGCAATATTGCTATTAAACGTTACCAATATTTCGATCAAACTGATGCAGTTAAGCTCATAATCACAGTAACCATAATTGAAATAAAATGTGGTGCATGCCGATTTCAATCAGAATAAACAGACATATAAACATTTTAATCGCATATTCCACCAAAGTGCACATATGCTCATACACGGATGGCATGCATTGTTCATGCAACTTCAAAAATGAACCATTAAAAATTCTCAAGTTTTTCCTCCTCTTGAATTACTGAACTCTTATCAACAATTCTCTGCTGTAAGGTCCACCCAATTGGCCCAACAAAGGTATCCAATGGTGGCTTTAGGTTTCCTGCATATTCTGTCGTTTCAGTGCACAAAGTAATTTAATTTCAATTAAATTCTAATCTGACTCCATTTCATTTTGACCTCGAATTTTGAATAGAATGCCAATTATGATTGATCATTCATAGGATAATTTGTCTAGACATCTGATTATTCTATTTAACTCTTTAAACTTATTGAATCTTATTAATCTTATTCGTATAACACTTTGAGTCTCGTGGTAGTAGTCGCGATTTACTACCAATCACGGAACCGACTTTACTGATGAGATGCGCATGACAATCGCATGCGATAAATTGCACAGCCCTAATCTGGGTATTTTTTGCCTACTATGTTATGAATACTGCAAATTTGGACACGAGGAATGACTTTTATTGAGCTCTTTTTGTGCTAGATTCTTGCTAGATCGGTTCTATTGCCTGTGTTAAGATTATTTTTTAGAAAGAAGATGTCTTTTAAAAATTCCTACCTTATTATATTGGGAGTTTTGTGTATGTATCTCTGACAGTGTCGGTCTTTGTGTGTGTATACCAGTGTATCCATCGGGACGTCAAACCGGAGAACATTCTTCTGACCAAGACCGGTGTGATCAAACTATGTGATTTTGGCTTTGCTCGCATCCTCAGTAAGTGTCTTTGCCCCACTCACTCACTCTCTAGCCATTTATGTGCATTTAGCATCTTCACTTCATTAATGACTTATTTATACTTCCTACCTATATCAGCTGTCATGTGTCCTGAGCTCACTTTCAGGGCAGCGTGAAGCCTCACAGGTGCAGTCAGCCAATCAGGATCTGCTTACATGCATCATCCTTGGGTTTCAGCGTATTGTTACTATAGGTTAACACAAGGTTTATCCATCAGCATGTTGTAATCCTTTCTGTATGATGTACATGTAATTCTGAATCTATGTGTGTGTAGCTACTAATCCATGTTTTGTGGACACATTTGTATCCAGACGGGAACTAAACATGTCAAAACCTCCTTTTGAGGATGTCCTCATTTGTAAAAATGAAAAGAAAATAACAGAAAGTTTTCTGTTAGGGTTAGGATGTAGGTTAGGGTTATAGTATTTATAAGTAACTGCATATATAAAAACAGCAGAACTCTATGGAAGGTCCCCATTTAGATAGCTAAGTAAAAAAGTGTGTATTTGTATATGTGTTGTGTGTGTGTGTGTGTGCATGAAACAGCTGGTCCAGGTGATGATTACACTGATTATGTGGCAACACGATGGTATCGGGCCCCAGAACTCTTGGTCGGAGATACTCAGTATGGTCCCCCAGTGGATGTCTGGGCCCTCGGTTGTGTCTTTGCCGAGCTGCTTTCTGCAAATCCTCTTTGGCCGGGACGTTCTGACGTGGATCAGCTGCACCTCATACGACAAACCCTGGGTACTAAAATTGAAAGAAAGGAGGAAGTTTGTTCACTGATGGTTAAAGGTGACCCATTATGCCCCTTTTTACAAGATGTGAAATAAGTTTCTGATGTCCCCAAAGTGTGTATGTGAAGTTTTAGCTCAAAATACCCCACAGATAATTTGCCACTTTTAGGGTATGAGCCAAAACCAAGCGGCAACCTTCCGGTCTCGCTCTTGAAACCAACATGGAAATTCATTGACTGGCCGCTAGAGACTGGCTCCAAAAGGGAGTCAGTTCCATAGACTCTCCATGTTAAAATGACCAAGTTTACAGCAGAAAAAAATATATGTTTACAGCCTGGTACAAAAAGTGGTTTTGGGCTATATAGCTAACTGTGAAGGGGGTGAATTTTTTAATAAATCATCCATTTAAATTATAGTAAGCCTTAAAGTTCTGCATAATTAAGGGCGTGGCCACTTGAATGACAGGTGGATTGCCACTGCTGTCACAACCGTCGAGCTAGGTGGGCGTGGTTTCAACAACCAGCTCCACCCACGTCCCACCTTTTTGCCCATTTTCGATTATCCAGGAGTGACGCGCAGCCAAGATGGCAATTTGAGCTTCAAAAATGCTCTTCAGAAACCTACGTGTAACGTCACGGAGACTGCATCCATGTTTTTTTACAGTCTATGGCCAAAACGTGCCATTTTTGTGTTTGTCCCTTTAAATGCAAATGAGCTGGTGCTCCCGCCTCCCTTTTCAGAAGAGGGTGGAGCTTCAAGATCTCATGCTCTGGCATACCGGCAACAATAAAACAGGAAAATATCATGCATTCTGACTGTACTGTGCAGTAAATGCACGTTTAAGAATTACACAGACGGGGAGCATAGCGAGATACATATAAATAACATTATGAGCTCGACAAATCCAAGCGATCGACTTCACATTGCTTTCATATGCAATTTTTAACTACCACATTCCTATTTACTATCATTCTGGTAGAACGTGAAGGCAGCATCAGTGAAAACAGGCAGAGACAGCATTAGCCTTACAGAGAACCAAGAAGCTCTTTTAGAAAACAAAATATGATGATGCTTACTTTGTCTGGAGCTGACATTCGCACATGAAGCGTTGGTATCGATCCCTCTTTCAGAAGCAATCTTTGCACAACTCCAGCACTGAACTGACCCTCGTTTGTGAGGCAGTCCGGCGTAAAATGATTAGCACAAACGTATAGGACTTTTCCATTTTTTTCCGGGACATTTCCTTCGAAAATGAAATTTAACCACCATGTCCTCAGCGGTCTATGGAGACTCCTATGTTCGTTGGTGTATCCCAGCACATGACACTTATAATGCGTCTTTGGCGCTGGCATTGTATCTCCAGCAGCTACAGCAAGAAAACAGTAATGGCGGACTGGTGCTTCTCACTCAGGGCGGGGTCTATGCAAATAGGACAGAGATCGTCACAAAGAGGCGGGACTTTCCCTAGTATGACGTGTATATAGGGAGAAATCTGGAACCGCTCATTTGGAGAGGCTGTTTATGATTTACTGGGATTATTAAAAAACAAGTGGGTGGATTTTTACCATTATAGGCTGGTTGTTTTCACACACTGCGGTCACACAACTGTAAGCAAACACCTTATAAAAGTGATTTCTGCATAATAGGTCACCTTTAAATACAAAAGGTTCCAAAAGTCTGAGACCACTTAAAATGTGGAATTTAAAATCCAGTTTATACCTGGAAATTAACTTTTTTTTAAGATTTAGACTTTCCCTAGTATGACGTGTATATAGGGAGAAATCTGGAACCGCTCATTTGGAGAGGCTGTTTATGATTTACTGGGATTATTAAAAAACAAGTGGGTGGATTTTTACCATTATAGGCTGGTTGTTTTCACACACTGCGGTCACACAACTGTGAGCAAACACCTTATAAAAGTGATTTCTGCATAATAGGTCACCTTTAAATACAAAAGGTTCCAAAAGTCTGAGACCACTTAAAATGTGGAATTTAAAATCCAGTTTATACCTGGAAATTAACTTTTTTTTTAAGATTTAGAAACATTTCAAACAAAGAGTTTTTATCATTTTACTTTAGTTGTAGAAATATTAGGAAATTTCCTGTTTATATATAGTACTGTTATCAGTAGTAATCAATACAAAATGGCTTTTCCTGCCATTGAACTGTGATAATGTTATTGTAAAATTGAATCATATCTTGAAAGAAAAAAGGCAGATAATAATAATATTAATAATAATTCTAAAATTTGTATTATCCATTGAAATTTCACCACTTTAAGAGCCTATTTCATTTCAGTTGTATGACTAAAGTTGGTCTAAATCTCATTTAAAAAAGGGTTACACACTGACTCTTAACCTTTGAACTTTGACCCCGATAGGTGACTTGATCCCACGGCATCAGCAGGTGTTTCACTCCAATGTCTTCTTTAGTGGCGTCAGCATCCCTGAGCCTGATACCACGGTAGCACAAATACACACCTACTTGTAAAAAAAAAAAAATCATTGTGGAATGTAAATTTGATTTTGATGTTGTTGCTGTTGTTGTAGGAGCCGCTAGAGAAGAGGTTCCATGGTGTTTCTCCTCATGCTATTACTGTGATGAAGGTGAGATGTCAATACAGGCTTATAAGCCTCACATGCCACTTTTCCACAGTGATCATTTTCACCTCTGCCAAAGCTCGCATCTAGATTTAAAGGTCCCATATGGTCAAAACTGAAATTTCCTGGCTTTTTTCACGATAACTGAGGTCTAGGGACTATTTAACTACCATATAAGTTTCAAAACAGTCAGCCTGGCCGTGCGTCACTCAGAAAACAACAGGCCAATCAGAAGAGAGGCTCATGAATATTAATTAGACAGACCAAAATCGACCCGTTCTCAGCAGAGCTCCTGAGACAGGAGCTGTACAAATATATTGAGATGGTTTTTGGTACTTGTACTGCAAATATATATTCTTAAGGACATCAAAACCTAAAATAAAACTCCAGAAAGGTGTACAATATGGGACCTTTAAACATGGTGCTCTCACAATGCTGTCAAACAGTAGAGCACAGCACTAGCAACGACTATATCAGGAAATCAATCCCAAGGAATGTACTGTATGAACTGATAAAATGCATACCTTGAATGCAGTCTGTTTGGATAAAAAAAGCATCTGCCGAATGTATAAGTGTGATAATGTCCTCACTAAGTAAATGAGTATAATATTCTCACTAAGGACAGCTCCCAAAACCAAGACAGCAGCATAAACAAATCTAAACAAATCTAAAAGACTAACGGCTCATGTAAACGATACAGTGAAACAATGGATATGTCTCTTTTTAAATATAATATGTGACCCTGGAGCACAAAAGCAGTGTTAAGTCGCTGGGGGATATTTGTAGCAATAGCCAACAATACATTGTATGGGTCACAATTATTGATTTTTCTTTTATGCCAAAAATCATTAGGATATTAAGTAAAGACCATGTTCCATGAAGATATTTTGTAAATGTCCTACTGTAAATATGTTAAAGCTTAATTTTTGATTAGTAATATGCATTGCTAAGAACTTCATTTGGACAACTTTAAAAGTGATTTTCTCAATATTTAGATTTTTTTGCACCCTCAGATTCCAGATTTTCAAATAGTTGTATCTCAGCCAAATATATTCCTATCCTAACAAACCATACATCAATGGAGAGCTTATTTATTCAGCTTTCAGATAATGTATAAATCTCAATTTCGAAAATTGACCCTTATGACTGGTTTTGTGGTCCAGGGTCACATTTGAGTCTTTAATGTATTATGATAAAAGACGAATACGTATCTTTATTTTAACTGGACAGCAATACTTTCAATCATGTCTAGCAACTAGATGTTTTCAATATCATTGAGATAAAAATTAAGTTTAAACATTAAACATTTAATGATCTATATGCCTTTTGGAGATTTCTTTACAAATGGATAATTTATATGCATTTTAATTACAGATTCTATGAGTTCTATAAAGATCAATTATCCTATGGCTCTTTCTGATGGACAACATTAGTATTCATATAAATGACTTTGATATAAATTATATAAATGGTTGATATAAATGGCTGATCTTTTAGAAGTCCTCCAAGCATCAGAATTTGTTACATTTGGCATGTTTCCTCAGAATTTCCTGTTGTCCCTGCATACCAAGATTTGTGAAGTTTTGACTATGCATTTACAACAATAAGTAATTATGGGCCAATATATTTGTTAATATATCTACAGTGATTAAACAAATCAAAATTCTTTTGAAAAAAAAAAAAGAAATTATTTTTCAAACATTTTATAGATGCAAATCAGAGATACACATTTTGTTGGGCTTGACTCAATGATTTAGACAATTACAGTTCCAGAAATATGAGCTAAAAAGCAAATTACTTTATCATAGTGCCACATAGTGGCATGTATGTTTGTGGGTGTGCCTGAGCAGTGGCATTTCTGACCATCCCACCAGGTTTGGTGTCTCTAGTAGAGGTGTATAGTAACAAAGTACAGGTAGACTTGCAAATCTTTACCCGAGGAAGGCTTCACACGAGGGCTGGTGCTTTCGGAATCCAATTAAATATACGGCTGATCAAAGCTTGAATGAATTTATAATTAGAAAACCGAAAGCCTGTAGCATGTGAATAGCTCAAATCAAAACTACAGCAGTACAGTTCGGCACTTAAGCACAATAGTTATAACGAGCAACATAAATAGCAAATAGCTTCTTCTTACCGAAAGTCAATGTTTTCATTTAAAAAAAATGCAGTAAGAAAAAAAATAGAGAACTTCAAATAAATAGTAGAACAAATAAATCCTTTCTAGCAGAACATATTAATTTAAACAACTGTCTGACTAATCAATTCTGTTAGTCAGTGGACAAGCAATTAGTCAGATAAGTCAATAAGAAAACAATCACATAAGCATTTGTTTTATTAATTTTAGCACAGCAGTAAGTGTGTATTTATAGATATTTTATGCTATATATGTCCTTAAAATGGTATTGTATCATGTCTTGAAACTTGGCATGATAACTTGACTTGATTTAATGATTTCAGTATTATTGGGATCAGTGCTTGAAGTAGAAAAAAAATAAGTGCCGGTACTCAAAAAAAAAATTAATCTCGGTATTCCTCCCCCCCCCCCCCCTTATTTATTTATTTTTATATTAAATAAGTACTTTTTAATTTTCATAATTCACAATGTAGGCTATGTGTAGGGCCACAATCAATAATTAAATAAACGTTTTCAAAATAAGCACAAGTCAAGCTGCGATACCAAACAGGACCACAGGGAGATGCCAACGACCACTAAACCTGACTGGATACATTCAGAATTGCTAAATTTCTTACCACCGCATAACACCTCAGCCAGCCAGCGTCCATTATAAAACATTCTTGCATTCAAGCCAAATAAACAATGAAAAGAATAATGTACTGACATCTGGACGTGAGTCACTATTATCTCCACAATCTCTGATGAAATCGGCCGTGTTTTCTCTGCATTAGCGCTGTTTTGTACATCTGTTTGAATTCGCTTACTGGATCCTCCTTGAAGTTTATCGGTTTACATTAATGATCGCAAAAACTTGCTTCTTTTCATTTTTAAGGTATTGTTTTCGTTATAAATCAGTAATTAATTATTATTCTACTTCTCTTGACATGCTCTTGCACCTCACACAATTTGGCTGAAAGTATAACAGTAGCCTATAGTGAAACAGGACAGCGCCCAAACATCCTCACATTATATTATTTCATTGAAAATTCATATAAATTCTCCATCTTTCTAAAGAAGTTGATGCAAACATATGGGTTTATCAATGTTTTTCTGTTGTGTTATACGTGTATGCCTTTGGACTTAAATGAACTGAGTTGTTTTATGCATTTTTGTGATTACAAATAAATGGAGTTGTGTTGTGTTTTCTCATTTTATGTGAAATAATTAAACACATTAGTTGGATTTAGCATCGCTGATGCACAATTCTGACACAAAGTAATAAACTACTGACACTGTAACTTTTTTAATCATAAATCATTGGTAAAATATCGATGCTGGAGACTTTTTAAAACTTTATATGGACAAAACTTCTGTCAAGTTCGTTTTGCGATAGTTTTCATTAATTTTCATTAAAATACAAAATACAAAGACTAAAGACTAGAATACACTGTGTACCGGCCCACTTCAAGCACTGATTGGGATGTATACAATTTTAACATTTAATGGTCTATAATCATTTTACAGATTTTTTTGTAACTAATTTTCAGTTCACTGTAGTTATACAAAAATAAAATAAAGTGCATTTATTTCCATTCAAAGTGGTGGAAATGGATAGAAAATTTTACTTTTGAAAGATTTCTTATCCTGTCCTAGTGGGCAAAAGTCTTACCTAGTGTAGTAATACAGCTTTCATCTTACATTTGAAATAGCTGATAGTTTAGAATTTGCTGTTAGACCCCCAGCATCAAAACATGGAACTAAGCATGTTTCCTCATAATGACATTTCTCCATACGTAACAAATGTTTGAGATGTTTGTACTTTGTGCACAGAAGATATAGGTACTCTGCAGATCTCCAGGAAAAGGATTGGGGTCCCCTGTGATTTAACATTATTATCCACTGAAGTATGATTGGCTGCTATTTATGTCAAAAGTTATAAGCTTGTATGTCATTTTTTTTACTACTAGGTGGTGCTGACAGAGATTTCTCAGGCTCTTTTAGGACATGGTGATGATGGTGTCAAGTTTAGTAATGACGTGCTAATGTGTTCATAAAATATAGCATTTTCAACAAAATTCAAAATGGTCGAAGCCCAAAATGGCCAACATGCTAAGATCTAAGCGATGTATACATGGATCCATCTGGTAGGTTGTCATGTGAAGAGCTTTTAGAGCTGCCATACTTCCAGGAGGATGGGGGAACGGGATGGGGCAGAGAAACTGATCGCCTCCCAAGACGTTATGAGAAAGGCACAAGACGCAGAGCTCCCGCGGTATGAATCTACATTGAACAAAAAATAATCTTAATAGCAAGTAATGGAAAATAAATTCTGAGACTCGAGTTTAAATCACACACTTAAGTCACACAAATTGACTTGTATTCCAAATGAGGAACTTGTTATCAATGCAACTCTTCGGGTTTAGAAGGCGAAACATTTCCTCACGTATCACAAACACTTAAGTTAAAAGAAAATCTAACATGACACCCCTTTTTCTATGAGAATGTGTGGCCATGATCAATTATCAATATCAATAAACTGGTTTAATGTTCTAAGGTTTAAAGATGTTGATAATCAGGCAAGTACAGCACAAAACTAAGGGCCAGATTTACTAAATGCTTGCACCAGCTCAAACTTTCTTTTAACATTAAAAAATAAAAATAAAAAACTACTGTCAGGACTACTAAAGACACGCAGTGAAAAGTTAGCAATGAAAAGGCATAGACATAGTTATTTTTGTGGCTGACCTTATTGCATATGCATTTGTAGAAGTTTTTAAGATGCTAAAAATAACTAGATTTACAAAGGTTTGCAGTAGTCAAACATTAGTAAGTCATGTTTGTATGGGATTACTGTCTCATGCTAATTTACCCTGTGTTACAAAAGGTTGCAAAGTCAAGATGAGAAAGGATCTAAGTGAAGCAATGTAGATATTTATTCAACAAAACTCAGAACACTGAAGAACAGAACAACCACTAAATACACAATGAGAAGTGATCAGGGAACTGAAGAAAACACTGGGCTTAAATACACAGGGAAACACTTGGGATTAATCAAGATAATTAACTAGACACAGGTGTAACAGATGAGGGCAAATCAAAAACCATGGCAACTAATGAACAGGTACAAAAGACACATGAACTAACACAGGAAACAGTGTGAAAGAAACGCATGGGCTGTTTACACCTGGTCACTTCATGTATTTTGTCTGATCGGATAGCTATCCGATTGTGAAAAGGCCAGGTGTAAATGCCCTATGAAACGCTCTCAAGATGGATATAAATCAGATCGCTCAAACCACTTCAGGAGGTAGTCTGAGCCGCATTCCAGATGAAACTGGACAAGTGTAAATACATCTGGTTGTTGAAACCACATATGTAAATTTTACTCCTCCCAAAATGTTCAAATAATAAACGTGTGAGAGGGTGTTATAGGCTATATGGCATTATAGTCAGATATGACTGCACTAATGCAACACGCATCGCAGTGGACGAGTAGCTGAGTATCTCTTCAGCAAGCCGACGTGCAAACTGCTGCGAATGAAACAAAGTAATACGCAGACAGTCATCACACAATCATCTTCATTAAAAGTAATAAGACAAACTTATCTTTCCAGTGCTGTTGCCTCGCACTCTCCTATTGTGGTCTTTGATCTTGAAATGAGCTGATAATTAATAAAATGCAGCGCTTATCTTTTGATGTCGTTGACGTGAACTCACGTAAATTTAAATATATTGCGGGAATTGAAGATCGGATTTAAATCCGTTTTGCGACGACACATTTATGTGGTCAAATGTAAATGGAAACGTTTTAACAAATCCGATAGATATCTGATCAGCAAAAATGCATTAAATGACCAGGTGTAAATGTTGCCTCGCACTCTCCTATTGTGGTCTTTGATCTTGAAATGAGCTGATAATTAATAAAATGCAGCGCTTATCTTTTGATGTCGTTGACGTGAACTCACGTAAATTTAAATATATTGCGGGAATTGAAGATCGGATTTAAATCCGTTTTGCGACGACACATTTATGTGGCCAAATGTAAATGGAAACGTTTTAACAAATCCGATAGATATCTGATCAGCAAAAATGCATTAAATGACCAGGTGTAAACAGGCCCTCAGTCCAACTCAAAACAGAACTCAAGCACAGATGACCCATTAAAATATCTTCCCCCTTCTGGGGTGACACTGGAGGGCTGGGGTGAAACAGGGCCGAAGAGGACAGGGGGCTTGGCAGGCAAGTGTGAAGCCAGTGGGACTGAGGGGGGGGAGTAGGAGGCCGATGGAATCAGAGGGATGGAGTGACGAGGTGCAGGCAGAGCCGAAGGGACAAGGGAGCCCAGTGGAGTCCAAGAGCTAATGGACCCCAGTGAAGTTGAGGGAGCATGGGGCCAAGGAGGAGCTGAAGGGTTGGAAGGCCGAAGTGGAGTCCATAGCTCGGAGGCCTGAGATGAAGCCAGGGGATTTCCAGGGCAGAGATGGAGTCCGGAATGTCCGAGGCGAATCCCCATAGGAGAGTGGTCTTAGAGGAGGAGCCAAGTAACTGAAGGGAAAGAGTGGAGATGGGGCTGAGGAACTGGCTGAGTTTGGAAGAGGAGGCAGGAGAGGGAGGCTGGGTGGGAACATGAATGTTGAAACAGACTTTCTGCTAGTCGGAACCGATGGAGACACAGGAGATTCAGAGCTGGGTGGAACCAGTGGAGACATAGCAAATTCAGTGCTGGGTAGAACCAGCAGAGACACAGGAGATACAGGGTTGGGCAGAACCAGCAGAAATGCAGGAAATTCAGGGCTGATCAGAAACACAGACCCAAACAGTGTGGTGCTGGGTGAAACAACAGACTTGGTGCAGAGAAACAAAATAGGCAAGAAACACTCACTCTCCCAGTCAATCAACTCTCCTTCTTCAGCTATTGTTGAGGGGGTTGAGCTCCAAATCATCCCCTCATACTTCACCAGTAAATCCACAGGCACTGCTCACTCACCTGGTCAGACATAGTTGGCACAGGCTCTGGCGTGATCTCTAACTCTCGCTTCGGTTCATGCTCTCCTATTGCGGCAGGCTCAGGCTCATCTTTTGTGATAGACTCAGGAATCACTGGGCTGGTGGTAGTGGTTGGAGTGCAAATGTATTCCTCACTCTTGCAGATGTGCAGCAATGTAGGTTGTTATTCATCAAAACGCAGAACACTAAATAATAGAACAACCGCTAAGTACACAATGAGAACTGACAAGTGAAGTAAACAAAACACAGGACTTAAATGCACAGGGAAACACTAAACAAGAATTAACCATGCACAGGTGTAACACATGAGGGCGTGAGACCACACACCTGCCGACCAACAGCGTAGCCAGAAAAGAGACTTTGGGTGTGCATCAGGAAAACGTGGGGTGCCACATTTATTGTTCGATTAATGTGCAAAAAAAAAAACCTGATTCTGCATATCACTAACGTTACAAAATAGACTGGGCTGATGTGTAAAATTATACCCAGGCTTGCCACAACCATAAAACTATATAAAATATAACTAAACATTACACTCAGGATCGCTAACAACATAGTCATAACACAGTACCTTTAATAGTGCCTGTAACCATACAGCCTATGAATGAATGAAAATGCATATTTTAATTAAAGAGAACTTAGAGAGCGTGGGCTGCTTTTGGTGCTTGAATTTGTGCTCCAATAATGAGTTCTAAGTTTAAGAATACGTTAGAATATAAAATTAGAATTTTTTTTTTTAATTTTCTCTATTTAACACTAACTTTCAATAGTGAAAGACTTCTTCCCTCAGATAGATTGCATGTTTTCTTGTCTAGCTGGATGTTGTGCTCATGATCAATAATCACGTTGTTTGTATTCGCCCAAACTGATTTGCCGAAATCAAAACGCAGACGGTGAAGGGAACTGCCATTAGCGCGAGTACCGTTCGCTGTGAAGTGGGAGTGACCAGCCGCCAGAGGATTCCGCTTGGTCTTAAAGCCTTCCTCAAAAGGCTATGTTTGCAAATTAAACAATGATTTGCGCAAAAAGAAAGATTACTTATCAATTGAGAATTTGTTATTCGTATGGTCTGGTGGTCATACAGCGTATGCCTGCAAATATGGGACAAACTGCATTCCGTATAGCTTTCATACAGAACGCTTCTTTGATGCCTTACGTTAAATACTGGACGATTCCATATTATACAGAACGGTTGGCAACCCTACCTGTTGTTACCGGGCCAGGGGAGGGAGATACATCCTCATCACGTGTAATGTTAGGCCATGTGTCCGGCTGTCCATCAAACAGAGGTTTTTTTTTTGCTAAAGAAATTAAGCAGGGAGCTCTGCTACTTATTGCTAGCCTAGCAATGTTTAGTCAGGATTCTCTATTGTTCAGAAAATGTGCGGCAAACGTCTCCCAAGATGCTGGGGTCACACGTCACAGTCAGCGGCTGTTTGCGGATTGGTTGGCAGGCAGATATTTTTATTTAACGAAAATCATTTAAAATATAAATGACATTTTAAATGAACAAAAATTGTAAGTAAAATTATTATTATTAAGACTATAAAAAAAAAAATTCTACATCTATTTTTAGGTGTGCCAGCTGCCACTGTAGTATCATTTTCACAGTGAAACGAGATCAAACATGACTTGCAAAGAAAAGCAAATGGAGGATGATCAACATCACCAGCTGGTTCTCTTGGCATGACTTTTGTTTTACGGAAAGAAAAACAAAGGAGAAAAAATTATATAGGTGAACATGTTTGAAAGATATTTGCGATCGGGGACGCTCTGACTCGATCGGGAGCAGTTAAATAATCGTAATGACATCACACAGTTGACAATTTATTTGATGTTTGCATCAAGCCTCGAATCGGGCCGTGCTCCCTGATCGCTTGGGGGTGCAAATCGGGCTCAAATTCGGGCTTAAAAGGTTAGTTCACCCAAAAATGGTTTTACTCACCCCAGAGCCATCCTAGGTGTATATGACTTTCTTCTTTCAGACGAATCCAGTCGGAGTTATTTAAAAAATTGTCTTTGATCTTTCAAGCTGTTTGCCACTCAGCGGGTGTTGCATGCATCAGTCCAAAAGAAGTTAAATAAAAAGCGCCCATCCATTAAATAAAAGCGTCTCACACGGCTCCGGGGGGTGAACAAAGGCCTCCTGTAGCGAATCGATGCGGTTTTGTAGGAAAACTATCCATATTCAAAATGTAATATTCACTTTAATGAAGCTTGCGCCAGCAGTTGTACACAGAAGCAGCTCCGGGAGCATGACGCATGAGGTCAGCGCTGCGCATGCGCCGGTGAGTCTCGTGAAAACCAATGTTTGTTAACAGGATCAAAGGAAGCAAAGTTTCCTTACTTTAGCAAAGCATATCCTCTTGGCTTATATCGAAATCCTCTGACATTCTTCTTTACAAATCCTCGTTTTGTACTTCTAATTAGTGACTGTTGTTTTGTTTTGATCTCTCCGCTGCGCTTCCACGTGCGTCACTTCTGAGCGGTGCATGCGCAAAGCCGACCTCATACGTCATCCGCCCGGAACTGCTTCTGTGTACAACTGCTGGCGCAAGCTTCATTAAAGTGAATATTACATTTTGAATATGGATAGTTTTCCTACAAAACCGCATCGATTCGCTACAGGAGGCCTTTGTTCACCCCCCGGAGCCGTGTGAGACACTTTATTTAATGGATGGGCGATTTTTATTTCCCTTCTTTTGGACTGAAGCACTGCAACGCCCCGCTGACTGCAATGATATAGCTTGGAATATCCAGGACCATTTTTAATCTAACTCCGACTGGATTCGTCTGAAAGAAGAAAGTCATATACACCTAGGATAGCTCTGGTGTGAGTAAAACACAGCATAATTTTCATTTTTGGGTGAACTAACCCTTTAGCATCTTCCAGTGTGTGGCCAGCCTAACACAGGAAACAGTGCAAAAGAATCTCAGTCCAACTAAAAAGCCCATAATATGCATGAAATGAAGAAACATTTATTGATGTTAAATGTTGTTATAAAAACAGTCACCACATATGTATGCGTGTATACAGTGTATATACACTATATATATATATATATATATATATATATATATATATATATATATAATAATTATTATATGAATAGTAATTACTTGGACATTTAAAAAAAAGTAAAAAGTGCAAATTAAGATTATAGAACTGCAGCACAGAAGCTGAATTTGAAATTGGGTTTCTAACCTTGTTATACACGTTGCTCACTTAACATTAGTTGGTTATTAATTAGTTATTAATTGAGAGAAATTTTGTTTTCCAGCCTCAATACTTTCCCCAGCTGACCAATAGTAACATCTCACCAGCACCTGAACTGAGGAATAAACACAGACACAAACACGACCATCATCTTCCCAACATCTGACCTTGGGACTGGTGCAAATGTGTTTAGGGCACACATGTTTTCAGTGGAACGAGCTGATGCATGTATTGCAAACAACAGAGGATTGCAGAAATGCTGTTATACAGAAGGACTGACACTGTAATATTAGTAATATTACTGAAGCATAGCTATTTTAACAGTTAATGTTGACAGATAGTCCTGGAATCTGATATTCTGCATATACAGTGGCCACAAAAATATTTTGACACCACACAAATCTTATCTATTATACATACATTTATAAATGTAATAGTGTAAAAAGTTATTAGTGAAATAGACTATTATAAATTTCTGATAAAAAAATAATCTACTGTATGTCTGTTGAGGAAAGTGGTATCTTTTTAGTTGTTTAAAGGCCGTTAAACAATGGCTCTGAAAATATCTACCATCTTTTGTTTGCAGATTCAACTTGATTTTTTATCTAATGCAGTGACATTCAAATGTTAAGTGTGATTTGAGTGTCTAAATGTGTCTAAATGTATTTTTGCATCCACTGTATGCAGGCAAAAGTTGGAAGGTAAAATTAAGCACACATTGGACAGAAAGAGTTACGATAAACTTGACTGTATGACTGAATAATTGTCCGTGTGCTTTGATTTCAAGATAGTATCAGTTCTGTGTGCCATTAAGAAAATAATATATCTGCACTGTTTTAGCGTTATGCATAAATAAAAGTTTTTTGTTCGTTTGTTTTTCGTGTCAGTTTCCTCTTGATTTTCCTTGTAGAAAATGAAACTTTTCTCAGTCTACTTTTGTATGATGCAAAATTTTAGCACAACCAGTTCATAACCACTGACCAAGATAACGCAGACACTTTAAGGACAATTCTCAGATGTTTAGCTTAGAGTTCTTATAGTAACCTACAATTCAAATGAAAGTTTTACAAATGTAAATAATTTAAGCATAAAAACACAAAAGAAAACAAGGCTGTTTCAGCTCTTTCAGTGGGTCAGATATGCATACAGGTTTCCAGTCACTGATATTCCGGCTGAGACAGTGATCCGTAGCCCTCCTGACACTTGGCTTGACTGATCGTCTCCAGCTCTTTTATCAGATTACCGGCTTGAGTGATGTATGGTCCACTGTGTACTGCCACTGCACTGACCTAAACTCATCAGAGACATTCCTACAGCTCCATTAGAACTATTACATCATACTTGCAAGTTCATGTTCTATTAATTTCTTGTTGCTTTAGTTTGCTTGTTGGTTGTTTTTGGCAGACATACTGAATTTATGAAGAGTCCTCTACTCTGGACTTTTTATACATTGTATTATGTTACAGCTTGGGAGTCAATACAGGGTTTAACTCCATAAAACAGTTTTGAAAATGATCTAGGACCTTTATACAGTGCGTACCATTGTAAAGACTGTAAGCCTATCCCTCACAGCCTTGTTTTCATCCACATGAAATTCAATATGATGTCTATCCTGACTAAGGTCTTTTGAACCAGCTCACTACTAAGTTGCTTTGGATAAAAGTATCAGCAAAATGCATGCAATTATAATGCTTAGATGTAGATAGATAATGAATAGGAGCACAGATCTGAACTTGCAGCTACACCCAGCCACTGCCTTCAGTGATCTGTTCTCATTCTCATACTACAAAGACTGACATCTCTCCAACCGAACGTCTTACTGCCCTCTAGACCCTATGCCCTGCCATATTTGACAAGACACTGTATCTCAGCAACACCTGCAGTTACACACACATCAGCGACACAGCTGGAGTTCTACAACTCAAGCACCAACCAGAACTGCCAGGTACAGACTGGACTGCTGCAATGGTCTGTTGGCCAGCCTTCAGCACAATTGAATTGAATTGAATTTATTTATTGTTATAACGACAGTCTATAGCTGCTGAGAGGCTAAGAATCAATGATGCGTTCCCATCCGTTTACATTCTTTGAACATTTATTGACATTGCATACCAAATAAATGCTTATACGTTTAAGGACATGATGAAATAAGAATGTAAAAAAACAATTTGAATGGTCAACAGAAAGTGAGCGTTACCCACTACTCATGCAGGTGAATCAGGAAGCACAACCAGGTAAATATCCACCTGTGACTAAACACCTGGAAATACATAATCACAATATAAAAAATCTCATAATCTATATTATGCATGTCCAGATTCTCCATCCTGTGGCAGATCCTTACACATCCAGGTATTGCACCCTTGTTATGCGAGGGATAATGTACATGCAGATTGATATCGTAGAATAAACCCCAATCGAAATATTTTATTAGTTCTTTTTTACCCCATCTGGGTGACTAATTGGCCTATTTCTTGTAAACACAATGTACAAACCCCACAAAATATGGTACATGTGAAAAACAGGACATTCTGAGGAAACATACCAAATTTGATGAGTTTCAAATGCTAGGGAGGTTACAGCAATTCCTAAATGTTCACATAGTTGTTTACACAAGGCTGCCATATTACTGTTGTCAACCAGAGAATCAGGATAAGAAATAATTTTAGGTCTTGTAGATTTGTTACAGCTTCCTCAAGGTCACATACAAAATGAAGGAGATCCATATATCCAAGAGCAGAGCTGAGTGTATTTAAATTGAGAGTAGACAACATATAAATAAACCATGCATTGTGTCACAAATGAAGCTTGTGCTACTCTGGCTTCAGCTCTGAGATCAAACCCCTCACATCTGAAACAATTGGTTCTGAATGAATAAGCTATCAAAATCCAAAGTGAAGTTGCTGTCTAAAATGTAGGGTGATCCACATAATCTACCCTCTGGCTAGTTGGTAACACTGGTACTGCCTTTAAGATAGGCCCTCTCTTGTGGTGTGGGAAGGTTGCTGCATTTTATCGATGACACAAGTTGGGTGAGACCTATGTGAATTGTACATTTTCACTAGAAAGAAATCAAATAAATGATTTAAATTGTGTTTGACCTGGTCATAAAGTCAGAGAGAGCCCATGCACCTCTTTAACAGAGAGCGAACTGAGATGAGCAGTCATTGATCTTCAGTGCTTTGTTTAGAAAACCACTGTGTTCTCATACACGCATGACGCTCCGGCATACTGCGTTCTTGGCTAGGTGTCTTTGCTTCATTATTGTCACTTTAATTTAACCCTTTTGCTTAATCACAGACAGTGAGACAGAAATAATTACAGCCGTTCATGGAAAAGGAAGGCTTTTTAAGACCAAGCAGAAAGGCTCTGCCAGCTTCTGGCACTTTGCGACATCCACTGTATAGAGAATGACAAATGAGGGGACGGTTATGTTATGTGTAACACGGCGGTAAAGTTAGTTTGACGTTTGACATTCTTTAGACATTCGGTTTCATACCTATTAAACTCTGTGCAGCTGTTATGTTTTGAACCCAAACTAAATCAGATAGCCATAAATATATGCCCTTTATGTGGCACAAGGCTTAATTTCTAGAAAAAAATACTGTTAAATATAGTAATATTACACTCTAAAAAATGTTGGGTTAAATATAACCCAGCGGTTGTGTTCAAAACAACCCAATAGCTGGGTTTGTCCCTTTTTAACCCAGCGCTGGGTTATATTTAACCCAGCATTTTTTAGAGTGTATACTATAAAACCAATACTAAAATGTTCAGAAAAATATTCCTGTTATTGCACAAGGCTCCGTTTTTGGAATTAGCATTTTATGTGTTTTATAATAATTTTACAACTTTTAATGCAATAATATAAATCCATTAAAGGGGGAGTACAATGCTGTTTCATGCATTCAGAGTTGTTTACACTGTTAAAGAGTTGGATTCTCATGCTAAGCATGGACAAAGTTTTAAAAAACAATTTGGACGTATGACGGAGTATTTCTGTGCTAAAAATCTTACTTCCGGGTTCGTACAAGTTTTGGAGAGTTTTTTTTTCGATCGTGGCTCTTCATGACGTAGACGAGGGTAGAACTCCTTATATGGGCATTTCTCCCGGAAGAGCGCGCCAGTGACATAGTTGCCAAGTCCGCGTATTATACGTGACTTTGGGCTTCTTTTTTTGTAAAGTTGCGTGAAAAAATCCCGGGTCGCGTTTTTTTGGGCTTATTTTTAAAAATATGGTTGCTTGTTAGGGAAATCTGACAAGCAACTTCGTTTCTTTATTTATGTTCGCCGTATTCTCCAATGCATTGAATGACACTCTGTCTGCTCGCAGTTAATAGCCAACCAGTGCAATATTATAAGTGCTGCAGCGTAATTTGCCAAATATTCCTCCCCCTCATTGAAAATCACGTTCAAAAAGAAGGCGCGTGCTGTGACGCTGTAATCCAAGCGATGGTAGAAGTAGACGTAGAGGAGTGGGATGACTTTCTTTTAGCCTATTTTTTAAGTTTTACAATGTTTTTGTAATGCATTAATTATCACAGGCTGTAATAAAAAACAAGTAGTTCTATACTAATACTAAGAGTAAATATGGTTCGAATAGCCTATATTTTAGTAGGCTATAAATATGAGGCTATGTTACAGCTCCCCTTTGAAGCTCTTGTGTTTTTCTCCTTTTCCATTTCTTCAATCCTATTCTGCTCACTGGTGACTCGAGATGAGTTTTGTTCCCATTTTTGTTGCAGTTTGCTGATTTTTGTAAAATATCTTCTGTTTTTGCTTTTCAGATAAAAGAGTGGTTTCAGTTGAATATGTTGCAGGCTCATTTATTGGTAATAAATCATTGATAATAAATAATATTGATGATAATAAATCATAAAAAAAAATTGGGCTTGTTTTGGGCTTGTTTTTGAAGCAGCGGTTGCTTATTTGTCTTGCGAGAGTTGGCAACAGTGGCCAGCGAACACATCGACCAGAGCGAGAGCGAGATCGTGCCCATCAACACGCTTCATCCGGCGGCAGCGCTGCACAGGACTCGCTCGGGAAGAATGTCTCCAAAGAAGTGTGTTTTTGGTTGTAAGGGAAATATAACTTTGTTCAGCTTCCTAAAGAACCCAGCGTCATGTAAACAGTGGATACAGTTTGTTTTTCCGGTGCAGCAACGGAGTTTCACAAGTGTGTTTGTTAACAAACGTTTTATAAACAACGCCCAGTTCGACGCTGGATTTGCACATCGTTTGATACTGAAAGATGGAGCGGTCCAGCTATAAAAGATCCCGGTCATGATTCAGAACTGCAGACGGTAAGTGAAACGTACGGTGGCCGAGAAGTGCAGACCAAATCGCAATTCTGAAAACAAAATAACAAATTACAAACGCAAATGCAAGCCTAA